AAGTTCTCCCTTCATGTTGTTCAGTCGAAAGGCGATGGAATGTCAGATGGCAAAAGCTTGACGGTGATTAACCCCTCGTTCAGNTTTTTTTGTCATTTTGTCCGTGACCTTCTTCTTCGAAGAAATTTTTGATGACAAAAAAATATTTTTGATCTTCAGCCATAAATTTGTGCAGGTGATGGTGTGGTTGGGGTAACTGAAAAGCTTCTGGAACCTTCATAAAAAGGCCTAACTTGGAGTGAAGCGGTGACAGATGGCCAGAAACATAGCCCAGCATCTTGGGAATATCAGAGATATGACCAGGTGTTCTGAAACGGAGTATTGAGTGGTAATAAAGTGTTGGGCATAGGTACCCATGAGTTCTCAAGAGCTCTCAGGACCATTAATTTTGATTAGCTCACACGGAAAATCAACACTACTGGTAGCCTAAAGTGGCCATGGAAATCCGACAATGATGAATGGCTGTCGGCTTTCAGCGACCACTCACTGCCCTCCTCTTTTACTCGCCGGCCGTCACTACCACACACATCCCATCTGCTAATTTATTCTTTGGATTGTCCTGTTCTTGCCTTCAGTATTGTCTTCACTGTTGGGCACCCCTTGATTTACAATTATATATAAATAAATTTATATAAACTCGCTAAGAATTTATCCGGGAGATAACGTCTCCGAACGGGTGAGCAGCACGTCGGGCTACGAGCTGAAATAGCTTCTGGAAGTTCCGTTGCTAGGTTGGTGATTCGTAACAACTCCCTATCTGAATCCCATATTCGAACAGAAGGTGGTTTAGCGGGAAAAAGGGTTAACACTCGTGAAAACTGTCCTTGCCCGAGTAAATAGTGGCTAATTTCTCGTCAACGTTTTTTTTTTCATTTTTTTTAAAAATATTATTAGAGCATTTGTTAAAGGTGCAGATCGAAGTAGCCAACGGTTTAGCCTAAGAATGAAATCTTAGCAAATCCTCCTTACTTCCGATTCGAGTCATGATAATATATAATTGACTGGACTTCAGGCCTCGTTCATACCTATCTGAAGCCAATTGTTGGGGGAACGTTTCTCGAAAAACTTATCTGAAAGACAATCACTTGCCACAATATTTTATTCTGAGGAAGTTGAGGCTCCATTGTGACCTCTTGATTTTGAAGCATCTCTTCACTGGTGTTCGATTACCTTTTTCAAATTGATATGTGGATAAATATTACTACAAATTATCGCTGTATAGGTAATATAGTGCCTTTGGGTCGTGTGATGGTGTGGCAGAAAGGCTTACTTACAAGTAGGAATGCTGTGCAAGCGCTCTGTGGGAGAATTTTCTAGCACCGAATATTATGTACTCGCATATTTAGAAAATCTGATAAGGAAATGATGTTAAAGGCTTATTGATTGACGGTTGGCAGGTGATATAGAGAATTACCCTTTTCAGAGACTTTTCCTTTCGTTTAATAAGAACAGCTGCCGTCAGATTGCTGACAGAAGCCAATGAGGCTGAGAAAGCCGCGATAGGGTGATCACAGGTTTCTTTTCTAATTCTTGTTGGAGCGTAGAATTTTATCAAATTCGGATAGCTCCACGGGACCTTTCACGAGTCTTTTTGCGAGGAGGATCTTATTTGAAACCTTTAAGTTCTCCCTTCATGTTGTTCAGTCGAAAGGCGATGGCAAAAGCTTGACGGTGATTAACCCCTCGTTCAGGCAGGATACATCCGACAATTTATGCTCGTTCGCTAAAC